TTTATTTCTATTTCCACAAACTCATGCTGATTAACCAATGAAATGGATTCTATTCCAAAGACACCATGTGTTCATTTTTTGTAGTGGTAGATGTTCATGTTGATTACAAGATGTGCATTCAATGGAGTTACTTCCAGTACTTCAGGATTTGTTAACCAAAGGGGGTAACTTGTTTCTTTCCCTTTACCTCTACTTTGTTTTGATGGCTATTAGGGACAATGTAGGATTTTGGTTGGAGGTAGGGAAGATATGAAATGTGCCTGTAAATTTTTTCTAGTTTTTGGGAATTTGTGTTTCCGAGATTACTTTATATGTCTATGATATAACATAATTGCAATGACATGTAGTTTCTAGAAGAAGTCAACTTTTACTCTAGTCTGGGAATTATTCTGGATATTGGTTTTGTTGTAGTTTGAAACTCTCAAGAATATGGCTTGTCTAGTTGGTTAGTTCTAGCACTTATAGATGTTTTGTGTGTAATCTTCCTAAGACATTGTGAGATCCCCCAAATTCTAGAACCTAATTGATGATCACTTGAGGTGAAATCCTAGACGACGAATAATTTAAGAAATGACTTAGGCCATCTTTGGACTGTTTGTGTTTTTCAAGCCAACCCTATATGTTATTACCCTTAGTCACCTGTTGTGCCGATATTGTATATATTTAGTTTTGATTTTCTTTCTTTTATCTTTCAATAACCTGCCCTATATAACCCTTAAACACATTTCCTAACTATGATATTCTTTTAAGAGGAGTTAATATGAATTTATGAAAGTGAAAATGTGTGTGGCTAAGAGCATCATTTTAAAAATTTGTGAAGATGTTCGAAACAACAGGTTGGGGGTTGTTGTGTAGGGAAAAGGGAAATTTGGTGATATCATTGCTTCCTAATTTATTAGTTCTAAAAAAAAAAAAAAAAAAAAAAAAAAACACGAAACAAAACGAATAAGGAAGTATGAAAAGGGTGTAGATTCGATTGTGGTTGGGAAGAGTGATGCAAAATAAAAAAAATAAAAAATTAAGGTTTCAAGGCTTGAGAGAATAAGTTGTTTTGAACGATCATGTTCTTTAAAGGTAAGGTTATTCCTCTTAATTGCTTGAATCCTTTACGTTCTTTCATAACCCAATACCTTAGCCTAACGTTACAAGTTTAATTAAGTCCTAATTATTTGAAGTTGTGCATTTGTTCTACATTAGTGGAGAGTGGTCTGAAAAGTAGGCCTACGGAGTTGTGTGTTCAGGGTTTTTATATTTATGGGATCAAAAATTTGTTTTCTTTATGGAAGTTGCATATGGAACTACCTCTAGGGCTAGGATTGGCGAATTATGGAATTGATTGGTGTTGGAGAGTTGAGAACAAAGGTGAAACTGATGTTTAGGGTGTTCTTAGATGTGGGTAATGATTGCTTATTCTTTTTGCTATATGTGTATGCAATGTATGAGACACATCTATTGATTAATCTGGGAAATATTTGTTTTGTAAATATGTGTGTTAGGACTTTTAAGATGTTTGTGGGTAACATCGTTGTAAATTGTCACAAGACTATAACTCGTCTACTAGGGGGACCTAAGGGTTCAAAGGCTCATTGCATACGCTAAATGCAATCGTGGTAACCTATGGAAGTGGTTTAGTTTAGGATAGTTTAGTTAGGATTAATTAGATTTTATTTTAGACCACTTTAATTGCTAAGGACTAGCAATAAGCTGGTTGGGGGTTGTGATGAGTGTTGGAAATGCATATATATTTAGTGATTTGGGGATGAGATTGTAGTGAATTTATGGTTTGATGCATCATTTATGATGAAATTCCTTGCATGTTTCGTTATCTTCCAGAATCATGGGTTTGTGTGTATTTTCAAGAATTCGGGTGCAAAATTCATGATTTGTACATGCGCTAATGTTCAGACCATCATGACTCATTAGAGTGCAAATGAATCAAGACATGAAGAAGAAAAAGTGGAACTTCAAAGTTGCATCGCAGCGCAACCTTAGTTGTGTCGTGGTATAGATTTATGGCGCTGCAACATATATCGGCAAAATCTAGTGCGCGTTGCAGCGTCAATAGGGTTCTGTCTAAGCACAAATTGGGTGTTGAGGCGCCGTTTGAGTAGAATGCAAAAAAGGCGCATTTCCAACCCTAATTTGATTTTCCAATTATTACAAAATTGCCATTATTTGTAAAAACTATAAAAGGGCAACAAATTTCATATTTTAGGGATTCCAAACTCTGTAAACAGTTGGGCTAACTTGGAGAAGGGGTCTTTGAGAGGCAAAGAACTAAATCTTGATTATTTGTTATGGATTTATGAACCAAATGCTAACAAGTAATATAGCTTAATTTGAATACTCTAAGTTTTTAATCTAAATTACTTGTTTAATCAATTCATTACAATCTTAGTTTCATTCATTGTTGTTTATTCAATCCTTAATCATTATTGTTGCTTGATCATCTTTAATAATTGATTAATTGATTGTGTGTATGCCCTAGCTAATCTTGAATAGCTCTTGTGAATGAATGGTTTGTGCCTTTACATACGCCCTGACAGATATAGATTGGTTTGTGAACTTTGGGCACTCGTAATCTTAATGGGTTTTTAGTAATTAGACTAGACTATACGCCCTAGCTAGTTTAATGATGAAAGCACTAGGTTAATCCTAGACGCCCTACGGTAATACCTTAATTTGGTAAGTATCAACCCTAAGATTTGAATTGAGAAAGCACTAGTTAGATTATTGGCGTAGAGTAAGATAATTACAGTAAAATTGAATACCTAGGCCTTTACCCATTTGTTTCTCACTTGTTTCATTATCGTCTTTACTTTAATTGTTAATTTTCGTTATTTCATTGTTATTTTAGAATTATTAGTTAGTTGATTAATTTTGTTACTTTATTTGGTTGATGCATGTTATTAGATTAATAGATAACTAACAATTCTCTGTGGGATCGAACCTTGCTTTTGCACACTATACTGCGATTGCGATTCATGTACTTGCAAGGAAATAGAATTTTATCTATCAATTGTGTGAGTCATTATCCTATTGGAGTAGAAGGAAGATGAGTTCCTAGTATAACCAGAAAAAAAAAATTAAAAAAAAGTTCCTCAATTAGAGGACAATTCTCAAGTGCTCATCAAATGGAATAGCCTATCGTCTGTTGACTCTACTTGGGAGGACCTCACTTTTATTCAGGTTCAATTTCCAAACTTTATGCATTCTAAGGAGGAGGAGGAATTGTTATGTATGAAGGGGAAAGGCAAAGGAAAATTAGTTACGCTTTATGGGCTTTTATGTTTTTCATAATTTCTAGAAAAGTTTATTATACCTCTTTAGATCCGTAGTGTAACGAATCCCACATTAGAAGCATATTAGGGAAGTCTTGGGCCTATAAATGAGGGGAGTCTCTCCACCTAATAGGTTAGCTTTTTTGGTGTAAAACTCCTAGCTCATGACAAGTGGTATCAAAGCAGACCCAGTTTGTCTTTCGATGTCCTACCAAGCACCCATGTAGGGGCATATCAAGAACCATCATTATTAGTTTCCCATTCTGAATGTTAATAATTGTTTTTGTTGTGGCCATGAACGGACGTCCAAGCAAGATGGGTGATTCCTTGTCAAAATTTGACGGCGTCTCCATATCTAACACCACAAAATCTAGAGGAACAATTAGTTTATCAAATTGAACTAAAACATCTTTAATAATACCTCGTGGATACTTCACTAATCGATCGACTAACTACAAGGTCATTGTTCTGGTTTTAGTTCTCCCAATCCCAATTGCTGATACATTGAATACGACATAAGGTTAATACTTGCACCCAAATCCAACATGGCTTGCTTTTCCTTTTTATTACCAACAATAATGTCGATAATAAAACTCCCAAGATCTTTCAGTTTGGGTGGTAATTTATTTTGAGCATCGCACTCGTTGTCTCAGAAATCGAAACTTTCTCATTAGGCTCATACTTACGCTTTCGTATATTCAGCTCCTTGAAAAACTTTGTGTAAGCAGGCAATTTCCTAATCAAGTCAAGCAAGGGTAAGTTCACATGAACCTTAGATAAAATTTCATAAATATCAGAAAATGACTTATCCCATTTGCTTTTAGCCAAGCGACTTAGAAAGGGCACAGGTGAAACATAAGGCTGAGGTGGAACATATGGATGATCAATCTCTTCACTCAAAATGGGTGCACTTGGTTGCTTCCCCTTAGCTTCCTTTTTCCTTGTATGTTCAAATAAAGGCGTATTAGTTTTAGAATTAATCTCCTTGTTAATTACCTTACAGCTCCGTAGTATTGTAATTGCATTTGCTTGCTCAAGTTGGCTTGGTAATTTCCTAGGAAAATGGTCTTGTAATGCTTTCGCTATTTGTCTAATATTAACCTCTATCTTCCCTATGCATGCAACCTATTGTTGGAATCTCTATTCAAAGTTTTGATTTGTGAGACACTTGAATAAAGTTATTCAGTGTTTCTTCCAATGAAGGTTTCTGCTATTGCATTATGTGATCAAAACTCCCTTGTTGTTGATTGTTTATCCAAGAAAAATTGGGGTGATTTTTCCAACCAAGATTGTAAGTGTTCGAAGAAGGATTATAAGGCCTTTGATTGTAAGAATTCATCATGTTGGCATGTTCCACAAATTTTGGAAAATTCTTACTAGAAGGACAAATGTTAGTAGTATGGCCAACTTTACAACAAATAGCACATACCTTGTTGGAATCGCTCTGTCCTTGTCCCATCATCATGTTGCACATCATCTTCATTTGCTTGGTCAATTCAGACATGCATTGCCAACTCAATGTTAGCACTTACTTCATAAATTCCTTTTGAATTTCCTCTAACACTTTTCTGTTGTGAATTGGCTCCAAGCATCTCATACAACTCATAAGTCTCATGTGTAGTCTTCTCTCCCATGGCACCACCTTCAGCATTATCAACTATAGCTTGGCAAGCCTGTGTTAGTCCATCATAGAAAAATTGGTTCAACAACTCTAACAGATATCTATGATGTGGACATTGAACTAAAATCAATTTAAAACGTTCCCAAGCCCCATGGAATGATTCACCTTCAATTTGAGAGAAAGTGGCAATATTACCTCTTAGTTCAGTAGTCTTTGCATAAGAGCAGAATTTACCAATGAACTTGTTGTAAACTACATCCCAAGTGGTAAGTGAAGTTGGTGTCAAAGACATGAACCAACTCTTTGCTACATCCTTCAACATTTATGGAAAGCATCTCATCTACAACTAGTCTTCATTTAAATTCTGCAACGGAAAAGTTTGCACAATTGAGTAAAAATTACGAATGAAAGTTAAAGGATCCTCTGTGGCTATTCCATGAAATGAATGAAGCATCTGAAAGTAAATGTTCTTCAGCTTATAATTCCTTGCGTGGCCTCAAGACTATGCAAGAGAGCAACGTTCCAATGGTAGGATGTGCGTACTCCTTCATACGACGGGGTAAGTTAGCCATTTCTTCTTTGGATTCAGAACTTGATTCAAATGACTCTTTAGAATTTTTTGGTTCTCTTCTCCTCCTTCTAATCAAATTTACTCTATCAAAGTAAGAAATCACTTCTTCATCCAAAGATCGATGACCTTGCATTCAAGAACTCACACACCAAAGAAAATAGAACAAAAAGTAATCCAAACAAAAGTAAAACAACAAAAAGTAAAGATGAAAATAACAAAATTAAAGCACACATTATCAAAGAAATCGAATAATTTAAACAGATCCCTGGAAACGGTGTCAAAAACTTGATAGACAAAATTCTATTTCCTCACAAGTGTACGAATCCCAATCGCAGTATAGTGTGCAAAAGCAAGGGTTGATCCCACAGAGAATTGTAAGTTATCAATTAATCTAATAGCATGCATCAACCAAATAAAGTAACAAAATTAATCAACTAACTAATAATTCTAAAGTAACAGTGGAATAACAAAAATTAACAAATAAAGTAAAGACGATAATAAAACGAGTGAGAAACAAATGGGTAAAGGTCTAGGTATCTAATTTCACCGTAATTATCCTACTCTGACAATAATCTAACTATTGCTTTCTCAATTCAAATCCTAGGGTCGATACTCACCAAATTAAGGTATTACTATAGGACGTTCGGGACTAACGTAGTGCTTTCATTATTAAACTAGCTAGGGCGTATAGTCTAGTCTAATTACTAAAAACCCATTAAGATTACGAGTACCCAAAGTTCACAAACCAATCTATATTTGTCAGGGTTTATGTATAGACACAAACCATTCATTCACAAGAGCTATTCAAGATTAGCTAGGGCATAAACACAATCAATTAATCAATTATTTAAGATGATCAAGCAACAATAACGATCAAGGATCGAATAAACAACAATGAAAAAAACTAAGATTGTAATGAATTGATTAAACAAGTAATTTAGATTAAAAACATAGAGTATTCAAATTAGGCTACATTGGATACACTAAAGGGTTTAGCTACTCATAATTACAAGAAAACAAACCTTAATCTTACTCATAAGCATTTGGTTCATAGATCCACAACAAATAATCAAGATTTAGTACCTTGCCTCTCAAAAACCCCTTCTCCAAGTTAGCCCAAATATTTACAAAGTTGGGAATCCCTAAAATACAAAATTAGTTGCCCTTCTATAGTTTTTACAAATAATGGCAATTTTGTAATAATTGGAAAATCAAATCAGGGTTGGAATTGTGCATTTTTTGCATTATGCTCGAACAACGCCACGACACAGTTTTATGGCACCATGGCAGAATCCTAGCGATTTGTGCTTCGACATAAACCTATCAATGTTGCGGCGCAGGATGAATCACGCCACGACGGGCGCAGGATTTTGCTGCTATATGCCATGCTGCCATAAATCTACGCCGCGGCACAACTAGGATTGCGCCGATTTGTGCCGCGACGTAGAAAACTGTGCCATAGCACAATCTTAAAGTTCCACTTTTTCTTCTTCATGTCTTTATTCATTCGCACTCTAATGAGTCCCGTGTTAGTAAATCAATGAACAAAGGTAGCGGAAAACAAAAATTTTCGCCCATCGATTACTTTGGATTTGCCTAGTCTGATATATGTATGTATGTATGTATTTTACATGCTTAAATTGAAATAATGAAAATCCATACAAGGATTCAATTATACCTGTGATTGGAGACTCCATCAATATCTTTGAATGTGATCTCGCTACCGATTCGAGAATGGAATATAATTCATGTCATCCACACGAAGACAGTATAGCAATAACCAAGAATTAATTTTGCTAGAATTAATTCTTGGCTTTAAAGAGTCAAGTAATGGAAGAAAGTGTGTAGAGAAAAAGAAGAGAAAAATTTCTCTTCAAAAACTCTCCCACGGCCATACAATGAATTAGATTGAGAAAACCTAATTTTTCTTTACTAATATAATAAGTAAAATATCCATTCCACCCCTCAAGTTTAGCATCAACCAACATTAGTTAGAATCGCATACTAACCCTTATTTAATTATTTAGTTAAATATTAATATAAATATTAATATTAACTCTAATAATTAAATTCATAATTTTGCTAAATTACTCCAATAATAAAATTGGACATAGGCTACAACCTCAGTAAATTTAATTACGCAGCAAAATTATTAATATGCCCATTCATCTAAAAGACAAATATACGCTTCCAAAAAGTCACCATCCTTAATCTATCTTCTAAGTATGTGACTTGTAGGCTCCTTATCATATCGGCAGTGAGTAGTATCGCAATTAACATCAATCAATCGTCTCATTACACACAGACCAAGATTGATCCCTAGCAAGGCATCATGATCATCCGATAGATTCGGATTCAGCGAAATAGCCACCAATTAATGATATGGTTATCATGCAATGAAATCTTTTCATCATCCGTTATCTCATCGAGGCTGGAAGTATAGAAATAGTGTCAACCTCAGTTATCCTCGATATCTTTGTATTCAGTTACTGGACAATGACCAGAATAATAAATTAGATTGAGCAACAACTTAATCCCACTGTGGCCACAGCTTTACTGTCATTGACATTTACTGAATCGCGCCATGAGATAACTTCTCCCGTACCTGAGAGTGATGAACCTCTGTCGATCTACTATAGTCTTGATATACTCCTCGATGTAGCCAATCACTACCGTATTGATAGCTCTAAATAGAACTACGTTGGGCTAGTATCAAACTACACTAATCGGTGCATAAGACAATCTGGTGATCTCAAGTCTAAGGATCACATGCACTATCATTCGTTTGAGGATTTATTCCATAGACATTGGGGTTACCATCTATATGGAATCCTTTGGTGGGTCAGTCTAGTGAACTTGCCTACAACAAGCACTCATGTGTTACACTAGGTTGTCAGCAAACAACCTTGACAAGTGAAATCAGTCACTGTCTTTCAATAGGGTCGTTCAACACTATGATAGCATTACCATATTATTTGTATCCTTGGTCAGAATAATACTGGGGCTACAAACATTTCTAGAATGGCCACCATATGTGATCATAGGGTTCTCACTATCAAGATTTGAAACATTTGATACCCTCGTCACGGTTCTACCATCCTAAGGACATATATCAATACATAGAATTATGATTTACATGATATAGTAGAAAACGCCTTTTATTGATTAATAAAAATTATTACAAATAGTTAATTTTATAATAATTTATTGGCTCTAAGGCACCTACTCTAACATCCCGTTGTCTAAACATTAGTGCACGTATGAATCATCAATTTTGCACCTAAATTCCTGAAAACACATACAAACCTGTGATTCTAGAAGATAACAAAACATGCAAGGAATTTCATCATAAATAATGCATTAATCCATAAATTCTCTACAATCTCATCCCCAAATCACTAAATATATATGCATTTCTAACACTCATCAACAAATCAGTCTCTGATTTTCTTTTTTAATAATGAAACAAGAAAAACAAAGTGGATGGAACTATTCTATAATAGTTACAGTTTGTAATCCACAGGTCCAATCTTCTCTAACACTTGGAAGGGTCCATAATATCTTCTTGTTAGTTTGAGTGACTTTTTGAGTGCCATGCTTGATTGTCTATATGGCTTTAGTTTTAAATATACCCAGTCCATTATTAGAAAAACCCATTTTCTTCACGGTAATAACTGAGGTTTCTTGACAGCTCTTCACCCGTCATTGAAGCCAGTGTCAAGAAAGGGTGGTGACCGTTTTTGAACTGTTAAGAATTTCTTGATAGGTCTCTTGACAGTTATAACCCATCAAAGATTTGACCGAATTTTAACAAATCCTTGACAATCTTCGAACTGTCAAGAGATTTGAACCAAAAAAAAATTAAATTACATAATAATAATAAAAAAAATTTTATTAATAATAATTCATCCTTGATGGTCTTAAAACTGTCAAGGACTTTTTTGTAAATATTTTTATTTTGTATTAATTTATTTTGTAATTCATTACCAATTAACTAATGGAATAATGCAATGAAATTCTTCGTAATATTCCTCAACCAACAACAATTATCACAATTCAACAATAAATTTAAACATTCAACAAATTTGTCATGGAAACAGATGAATGGGATTTTCATAATACTGTCAAATTATCATTCCAACACTCATATAGACACAAAAAGATAACTCCAATCATCAAACATTGCTATAAAGACCGCTAAATTTTACCCAAAATTTATAAACAAATGCCACAAGCCTAGAGCAGCAACGTCACCTGCAAGTGATTAATGAAAAATTGGGGAGAGAAAGATAATCCACCGTAAGGATAAGCTTCACATAAGTCAACCAGTAGTCCAGTACCAAATGATATCGCAAAAAAATATGTTAGCCAAATAAATACATGCACGTAAAAAGAGTTACTATGATAAAATTTAAAGAACAAGATGTTAATGGGAATTTGAGAGAAATAAAGCAGTGTAAAATTATGGTGGCAATACACATATAATATTATAAAATAAATACAGAATCTCATGTTTTATGACATACAGTCAAGGGACATGACTTGGTGATACAAGTTTTTGACTTCAATTGAGATAGAAATCCTTAACCACTCATCTATCTTCATCCAAGAACATAGGAAGTTATAAGTTAGAAACATCAAATGCAACTTTTGACTTCAAATCTTAAGTCTTGGATTAAAATAAATGAATAATTCGGAGTTTATGTCTTGTTTTAACTGAAAAAGTTTGGGTCACTCACAGCCTATGTAATTAAGCACTTGAAATGCATAATATATATCCCAAATTTTAAAATCCCACAAACTAAACAGCCTATGATGAAATTTAAAAGTGCAATCACTACTACAAAAGCCTCTGATGTATAATATATATGCTTTTGCATTCAAATTCATTAGGAGCTCTTGAATAAGAGCATCCACAAAAACAAGAGACCAATGTGACAAGCATATAGTTTCTCATGTTTTCCAATGGCCATGTGGTCTAGTGGCATAGGTCTCCACACATTTCTGGATTGCTAAAGTCTTGGATTTCGAATCCAGGCAAAATGGAGGAGTTTAAAACTGTAGGTTCATATTATCATTTGATTGCTCCTATCATTTATTGATCCGCATGAATGTCTCCATACTTCCATCAGCAATTCTAACCAAGTGCTTACTGGAACACACAAAATCAGATGAAAAATAAAAACTCAATACCTTTCCATCATTTTCCTTTCATGACGGGACCTCCGGAGCAATATATGCTAGAGTTCCAACAGTTGATTTAGGCTGTGAGTGCAACAATCCTGACTGCAAGATGTAAAGCAAAAACAATAATGAAAGTTAAAACTAAGGACTATAATGTGTCCCACGGCCGCACAATGAATTAGATTGAGAAAACCTAATTTTTCTTTACTAATATAATAAGTAAAATATCCATTCCACGCCTCAAGTTTAGCATCAACCAAACATTAGTTAGAATTGTATAGTAACCCTTATTTAATTATTTAGTTAAATATTAATATAAATATTAATATTAACTCTAATAATTAAATTCATAATTTTGCTAAATTACTCCAATAATAAAATTGGACATAGGCTACAACCTCAGTAAATTTAATTACGCAGCAAAATTACTAATATGCCCATTCATCTAAAAGACAAATATACCCTTCCAAAAAGTCACCATCCTTAATCTATCTTCTAAGTATGTGACTTGTAGGCTCCTTATCAGCAGTGAGTAGTATCGCGATTAACACCAATCAATCGTCTCACTATACACAGACCAAGATTGACCCCTAGCAAGGCATCATGGTCACCCGATAGATTCGGATTCAGCAAAATAGCCACCAATTAATGATATGGTTATCGTGAAATCAAATCCTTTCATCATCCGTTATCTCATCGAGGCTGGGGATATAGAAATAATGTCAACCTCAGTTATCCTCGATATCTTTGTATTCAGTTACTGGACCAATGACCGGAATAATAAATTAGATTGAGCAACAACTCAATCTCACTGTGGCCACAACTTTAGTGTCATTGCCATTCACTGAATCGTGCCATGAGATAACTTCTTCCGTACCCGAGAGTGATGAATCTCTATCGATCCAACATAGTCTTGATATACTCCTCGATGTAGCCCATCACTACCGTATTAATAGTTTTAAATAGAACTACGTTGGGCTAGTGTCAAACTACAGCAATCGATGCACAAGGCAATCTGGTGATCTCAAGTCTAAGGATCACATGCACCATCATTCGTTTGAGGATTTATTCCATAGACACTAGGGTTACCATCTATATGGAATCCTTTGGTAGGTCAGTCCAGTGAACTTGCCTACAACAAGCACTCATATGTTGCATCAGGTTGTCGGCAAACAACCTTGACAAGTGAGATCAGTCACTGTCTTTCGACAGGGTCGTTCAACATTGTGATAGCCTTACCATATTATTTGTATCCTTGGTCAGAATAATACTGGGGCTACAAACATTTCTAGAATGACCACCATATGTGATCATAGGGTTCTCACTATCAAGATTTAAAACACTTAATACCCTCGTCACGGTTCTACCATCTTAAGGACATATATCATTACATACACGATATAGAATAATATGCCTAACACTTGGAAGGGTCCATAATATCTTGTTGTTAGTTTGAGTGACTTTTTGAGTGCCATGCTTGATTGTCTATATGGCTTTAGTTTTAAATATACACGGTTCATTATTAGAAAAACCTCCTTTCTTCACAGGTAATAACTGTCAAAAAGGAGATTTCTTGACAGTTCTTCACCCGTCATTGAAGCTAGTGTCAAGAAAGGATGGTGACCGTTTTTGAATTGTCAAGAATTTCTTGATAGATCTCTTGACAGTTATAACCCATCCAAGATTTGGCCGAATTTTAACAAATCTTTGACAGTCTTCGAACTGTCGAGAGATTTTAACCAAAAAAATATTAAATTTAATAATAATAATAATAAAAGAATTTTATTAATAATAATTCATCCTTGATGGTCTTAAAACTGTCAAGGATTTTTTTGTAAATATTTTTATTTTGTATTAATTTATTTTGTAATTCATTACCAATTAACTAATGGAATAATGCAATGAAATTCTTCGTAATATTCCTCAACCAACGACAATTATCACAATTCAACAATAAATTTAAACATTCAACAAATTTGTCATGGAAACAGATGAATGGGATTTTCATAATACTGTCAAAGTATATACATAATCATTCCAACACTCATATAGACACAAAAAGATAACTCCAATCATCAAACATTGCTATAAAGACCACTAAATTTTACCCAAAATTTATAAACAAATGCCACCAGCCTGGAGCAGCAACGTCACCTGCAAGTGATTAATGAAAAATTAGGGAGAGAAAGATAATCCACCGTAAGGATAAGCTTCACATAAGTCAACCAGTAGTCCAGTACCAAATGATATCGCAAAAAAGTATGTTAGCCAAATAAATACATGCACGTAAAAAGAGTTACTATGATAAAATTTAAAGAACAAGATGTAAATGGGAATTTGAGAGCAATAAAGCAGTGTAAAATTATGGTGGCAATACACATATAATATTATAAAATAAATACAGTATCTCATGTTTTATGACATACAGTCAAGGGACATGACTTAGTGATACAAGTTTTTGACTTCAATTGAGATAGAAATCCTTAACCACTCATCTATCTTCATCCAAGAACATAGGAAGTTATAAGTTAGAAACATCAAATGCAACTTTTGACTTCAAATCTTAAGTCTTGGATTAAAATAAATGAATAATTCGGAGTTTATGTCTTGTTTTAACTGAAAAAGTTTAGGTCACTCACAGCCTATGTAATTAAGCACTTGAAATGCATAATATATATCCCAAATTTTAAAATCGCACAAACTAAACAGCCTATGATGAAATTTAAAAGTGCAATCACTACTACAAAAGCCTCTGATGTATAATATATATGCTTTTGCATTCAAATTCATTAGGAGCTCTTGAATAAGAGCATCCACAAAAACAAGAGACCAATGTGACAAGCATATAGTTTCTCATGTTTTCCAATGGCCATGTGGTCTAGTGGCATAGGACTCCACACATTTATGGATTGCTAAAGTCTTGGATTTCAAATCCAGGCAAAATGGAGGAGTTTAAAACTGTAGGTTCATATTATCATTTGATTGCTCCTATCATTTATTGATCCGCATGAATGTCTCCATACTTCCATCAGCAATTCTAACCAAGTGCTTACTGGAACACACAAAATCAGATGAAAAATAAAAACTCAATACCTTTCCATCATTTTCCTTTCGTGACGGAACCTCCGGAGCAATATATGCTAGAGTTCCAACAGTTGATTTAGGCTGTGAGTGCAACAATCCTGACTGCAAGATGTAAAGCAAAAACAATAATGAAAGTTAAAACTAAGGACTATAAGGTAAGATATAATTTATAACTTAAAACCCCTTAGTACTGAGTTTTTTTTTTTCGGGGAAAAAAAAAGGTAAGAGTTGTAAGAAAGCAACAGAGTTATGTGCCATTTATCAAGTCAACAAAGCTGCTATTCAACTAAAAACATAAACCTTAGAGTAACCAAAGTCACATATTTTAACACTTGGTGTTGGACTTCCATCCAATAGTGTGTTTTCCAACTTCAGATCCCTGTGACAAATTTCTTGCAATAAAAGAAATAAGTAAATAAGGTAGAGATCATAACATAAGATGTAACATTAAATTTTGGGTATCATCATACCATGGCATGACAGTAGCTGACGGCAGATATTAACTACTGGAAGAAAAACCTTGCCTGTTGTGAAAAGGGTTTTGCCAACAAACAAATCATTAAGAAAATCAATTTGCATCACAACAATACACATTAAACCAGAGATAAGTGACCTAAGATGTAATTTAAAGAAGCAAGCTCCATAATACAACCTCATCTTCACTAAATCGACCAGCACTGCATATTCTGGCAAAGAGTTCGCTACCAGCCGCATATTCCATGACAATAGCTAAATGAGTAGGAGTCAACAAGACACTAAATCATAACTATGAGATAAGTGTAAGTTATTGAACCAAAGGACAGTTTGCACCTATAGCTAATGAAGAAAATATTAACACCACATAAATAACATCTCAGGTTATATTACACTGATCTATAATGAGAGCCAATGGATCATGAATAATAACTATGATTTCCTGTAAAATGCTAGTGTGTACAACATTTATTGCTTATTTTGTAGTCAGAAAATTCTTAGTAAAATTGTCAAACCAAAATGTTTATTCTAGATAGTGACCGTCCTCGAATTTGACACTTGAACATAACATACTTCCCCCTCAAGTGTGATTTTTTCTCAAGAAGTGATTAATGGAACCTACACTTTTCTTGTCTCATCTCATTTGTTTCTGTTAGCTTTATGGATTCTTTCTATTATATTAATTTTTAAAGTCTTTTACTTCCTAACCAGAACTTCACTAGCATTCTTTCTAACAAAACCAAAATCTACAAAATTTTAACTCTTAATCAAAACACAGAGAACAATAGTCCATATTGTATCCCAATAAGCAAGTTATGCGCTAACATTAACTATGCCCTCAGCTGCCCCATAAACATGGTTACTTTTCATATATTTCACAACGCCAGAACCAGATATGAAGTCCTAAATTAAGTTCCATAACTGAAAGTACAACAGTTTGTTACTATGGCATCAATATATGATGATGAAGAGAAGACCACATCAAGTTCTCTCATTGAAGGCAGCCATTTATGGAAGATATGATAACCCACCACATTGCACAATACGAACCAGAACTTGCCTAATCATAGAATATCGATCAAATTTCCATTTATCACTACAGAACTTGAACAAATCCCAAATCGCCAAACTTGAGATCAACCCAAGAAGAGCCCGTGGCATCTGGTACCTGGAATCACAAAGACAAAGAAAGTCTAACTAAATGAATAAACAAAAACAAAATCACATAAATTAACATAAAAAAGAAAGAAAGGTACCATATTAACATTAAATTCCAATCTTCGCATTATAAAACCCAAGACAGAAATGATAAAATTACCAAAAAATGAAAACTTTACTCATGAAGACACACAATTTCGAAACTTTAAGCACTTTCCTCAACACCCACAAGGAACTAAACAAGAACCTACATGTATACAAACATAAACAGAGAGAAAGAGAATAAAGATTCTTACAAGGAGCAGGCAAAGAAGAGAATAAACAAAGTAGCATAATTTCTGCATATCGTTTGACGTTCTCTTGAACCCTCAATTTGAGAGTGTCCGGCAACGAGGGGAAGGAGTAAGAGCCGGCGAAGCCAAGAAACTCATGCGTCTAAGAGGGGGTGCAAGCGGAGAAATCATCAATGGTTAGCTTAGCAAAGGGGTTGACTTTGAGTAGAAAAAAAAAAGGTCCATAAATAATGAAAGAGGTTGTGGGTAATGGTGGCATTGGTGGTGGAGGAAGTGGTGGATAAGGCAGTGGAGTTGGTGTCAAGAAGTTCGTTAAGGTAAAATTTGTCTAGTGAAACAAGGTCTGGTTTGTTCAGAGATTCTACACAAGCTTGGTAATTTAAATTTAATTTGCCAATTGAGTGATAAGAGTTGAAGGATTGTCGCAGAAGTATTGAAGTCTGAAAACAAAATAAAATGTAAATCAATCAATCAATGAAGCAGTGAGAGTAAATCTAAAAAAGAAGATGTGCAATTTACAGGTACAATTGCAAGAAGCACAAAGATTTTGGTAAAAGAAGATCCAGTCAAATTGCTGACGAATCTGAAGAGAAGAGAATAAAAGAAGAAAAATTTAGATGAAATGGTGAAAGAATTGGAGAATTAATTGCGAGAGACAGGGTGCGTACTGTTCTTTGAGTTGCTTGTTGAGATTGTGAGACGCCATGAACGCAAATCAAATGACATCATTCTATTAAGCAGCCGAGAATCAACGCATCCACAAACAAATTAAAGAAACAACTGGGTAGAAACAAATTGAAGAAGACTGAAATACTTTTTACAGAGGACTGACAAAGAGTGGCTGCCGACTGGTGTAAGAGCGTTTGGCATAGAAGTCGGCTGTGAAAAGATTGAGAACAGATGAGGTTCGACGGACGATAGCCAAACTGACAAGGACAACTGGAGAAGAACAGATTTCAGGGAAACAATGAAGAAGAAGAAGATGCGAACGGTGTGGAGAAGTGGAGAGTGTTTTGCGTCTTAGGGTAAAATTTGTTTGGGAATTATGTATAGTTGGGTTTACTCTTTCTAATTTTCAACAAAGCTACCGGACACCCAAAAATTTGCACTAAAAATATGTACCGGCCTACGTGTATCAGGCGTCTGATTCTTTTATCAATTTTTTTCTAGTGAACGGTCATCCATCAAATTTGGACGGCCGTTCACTCACATGGACTTCCGTCCATATTATATGGACAGGCGTCCCCATTTAAAGGACGCCCGTCCCTGAATAAAATACAATAAAAAAATTTTATAAACATCAGGGACGGCTGTTCATCCGTTATGGACGGTCATCCCTTTATTTTGGACGGGCGTCCGCAAATAAGGGACGTCTGTCCTTAACCAAAATATGAAAATAAAAAAACTTTGGGACGGCCGTCCCTTACGTTTGGACTGGTGTCCATACTTTAAAAAAAAAAAAAAAAAAACATTAAACTTTTCTTCTTCGCTCTTCTTCTTCGTCTTCATTCCCATCTCCTCTCTTTTTCTTCGTCTTCATTCCCCATCTCCTTGGTTAATTATTTTTGGATTAATCCGTGAAGAAAGACCTAAAGGTCCTCTCATTCGAGAGTACCTCACTCTCCTTAGAGCGCTTACAGACAAGGAAGGAACTACGCTTAAGGCTTACACGCACGCGAACTATAATAGGATTACAAACTGCAAACTGCGAACTTCCTCCCCCCCGTGGTGAACTCGAGCTGGAAGACAGCCCTTATCCCAGCCCAACGGAAGCGTATTTCACTGTGGCCACCATCTCCGACAGCTAACCTTGTCGTCCCCCATAGATACGATACCAACTTTGCATAGCTTCTCCGCCATTTTCATTTTGCTCTCAGCCCCGAACAAGACCCACCTGTTAGTACCCAACTCCAGCCATAGCCCGTTTCACTTGCCCCCCCTACTATCTTCTCAACAACTCTCTCCAACTTCGCCGAAACCAACTCACTCATTGTGGATACACAAAAGAGCATCGGAACCAACTCACTCGTTGTTTCTGGGCTCTACTTTCTTCTTTCTTCTTCTCCTAAAACGCGCTGCTATTTCAGTGGCTGCAGAGCCCAGAATGCGCAGCTCCACGCTGCTGTTTCAGTGGCTGCTGCCATAGCAGCTGTTACAGCAGCCACTGCTATGTCTTCATCTTCAAGAAAGAATGAGCAGCAGCCTTTTCCTGGTGGGGTGTCCCTCCAGTTCCAAGGAGGAACTCCGGTGGCAGCAACGGCATTAGCTGTGGTAATAGCAAGAGGATGTCCCTCATGATCTAGCCGTCTTTCAAGATTGAGTGTCGACCTGCCACTAGCTGCACACCAAAAAACTTAAACATGAGGGAAAGCATATCTCATTTAATTTAAGATAAATCAATTGAAAAAGCACACAAGATATATGAGTAATATACAAATGAAACTCATAGGAATCCAAGAACCTTGTGAACAACATGCCTGCTAGACTCTTGCCATATACTTTGAAGATCTTCGAGGAGATGGTTTATTTTTTTCAACCTACTAGACTCTTGCCTGCTCGTAGAGTGAATTATATTGTGTTTTAGTGCTTAGTCGGCTTAGCCCACCCGATATATTAAAAACAAAGAAAAGATAGAAAGATCAAGTTCCAGAAAAGATCAAGTTCCAGAAAAGTCTTATATATTGATGACGAAGAAGAAGAGCGAAAAAGAAGAGGTTTAATGTTTTTTTTTTTTTAAAAAAGTATGGACATGCGTCCATTCCTAATGGACGCCCGTCCAAACGTAAGGGATTGGCGTCCATTCCCAATGGACGCCAGTCCAAACGTAAGGAACAGCCGTCCCAAAGTTTTTTTTTTTGGAAAATGCTATCCTTACTCATTTCTCTTACTCACCTTTGTTAAAATGACATATGGTACCCGTACCATACTATATATTTACAAAAGTGAGTAGCATTAATCGTTTTTTTTTTTTTTTTCATATTTTGGTTAAGGACGGGCGTCCCTTATTTGCGGATGCCCGTTCAAAAAAAAAGGGATGACCGTCCATAACGGATGAACGGCCGTCCCTAATATTTATAAAATTTTTTTATTGTATTTTATTCAGGGACGGGCGTCCTTTAAATGGGGACGCCCGTCCCTGGTATATGGACCCCTATTCATATAATATGGATGGGAGTCTATGTGAGTGAACAGCCGTCCAAATTTGATGGACGGCCGTTCACTAGAAAAAATTGATAAAAAAATCAAGCGCCTGATACACGTAGGCCGGTACACATTTTCGGTGCAAATTTTTCGGTGTTCGTAGCTTTGTTGTTTTATTTTTAAGGATTCAAACAATTCCCGAGCAAAATTGTTTACTCTTTTTTTTTATTTACCCTGAAACCGGGTTTGGGGTTTTGTTTTTCTTTAATTGTAAGGATTTAGGGACTTTTTAATTTGTTTACTTCTTAAATTTTAAAGAAAAATTGTTTACTTTTTTTTTTTTAAATAAAATTAGAAATTTGTTTTTTTGCATTTCTATGGACCAAAACCGAATCAGTTTTTGCGATAAACGGAAAACCAGTTTGGTTCCCAGTTCAGTTTAGTTTCTACATTTTTCTAAACACCCCTGCATTTGGGTGTTCAGGATACGCCTCGCCAAGAACTCAGCGAAGTTAACAATCTTTATTGGAATAGGCATGGAGTAAGCACCAGAGTCAATGAGCGAGTCGTCGTCTACTGAACAAGAGTAGTAGAAACGAGAACTTTTTTTGCTAGTGTCGGAAGGAAGTCGACTATGAGGGTTTGCACAAATGAGTGAAATAGCAGGTAAGCATATGTTTTAGGGAAAAAAATTGTGGGAATAATTAATGAAAAATGGGCGGCAAAAAATGGGTGGGAAAAGTTTTAGGCAAATTTTTTTTTTGTTTTTTGTTTTTTATATACTTAATCCTTGACAGTTAAAAACTGTTAAGGATTGAGACTACAGCAGTCAATAACAAGATTCACAAAATTTATTTTTAACCAATTCTTTGATAGTTAACAACTATCAAGAATCATCTAAAACGGTCAAGGACTATTTCAAATTCTTGATAGTTCATAAACTATCAAGAATTACAATTCTTGACAGTTTTTTAGAACGGTCAAGAAAATCTGTCAACTCATTCTGTCAAGGAAGGGGGTTTTTCTAGTAGTGGTCCCCCACTTGAAATTCTCTTTTTGACCTTTTTCTGTTTGCATACTTCATTTTATTGCTTGCAATTGCTAATTGTTCCTTTAGTTGTTCCAACATTTGAGCCCTCTAGGTTAGGAATTCTTCAACAACCGCCACCAAAGTGGAATTTTTAGGCAAATCTAGTAAAAGAGGAGGGTAGCCATATGGGGCCTGACCTTTCTAATTTTCAACAAAGCTAACGGAAACCCAAATTTGCACTAAAAATATGTACCGGCCTACGTGTATCAGGCGTCTGATTTTTTATCAATTTTTTCTAGTGAACGGTCATCCATCAAATTTGGGGCCGTTCACTCACATGGACTTCCGTCCATATTATATGGACAGGCGTCCCCATTTAAAGGACGCCCGTCGAATAAAAACAATAAAAAAAAATTTATAAACATCAGGGACGGCTGTTCATCCGTTATGGACGGTCACCCTTTATTTTGGACGGGCGTCGCCAAATAGGGACGTCTGTCCTTAACCAAAAATGAAAATAAAAAAACTTTGGGACGGCCGTCCCTTACGTTTGGACTGGTGTCCATACTTTAAAAAAAAAAAAAAAAAAAACATTAAACTTTCTTCTTCGTCTCTTCTTCTCGTCTTATTCCCATCCTCTCTTTTCTCGTCGTCTTCCCCATCTCTTGGTTAATTATTTTTGGATTAATCCGTGAAGAAAGACCTAAAGGTCCTTCATTCGAGAGTACCTCACTCTCCTTAGAGCGTTACAGACAAGGAAGGAACTACGCTTAAGGCTTACACGCACGCGAACAAAAGGATTACAAACTGCAAACTGCGAACTTCCTCCCCCCCGTGGTGAACTCGGCTGGAAGACAGCCCTTATCCCAGCCCAAGGAAGCGTATTTCACTGTGGCCACCATCCGACAGAACCTTGTCGTCCCCCATAGATACGATACCAATTTGCATAGCTTCTCGCATTTTCATTGGCTCTAGCCAACGCAAATCAAATGACATCATTCTATTAAGCAGCCGAGAATCAACGCATCCACAAACAAAT